GAGACCCACTTAAGATTTTTTTTAAAATCTCATGTGGGGCTCCCTGCACTGTAGCTAGATGGGGGTGTGGCCGAAGGTGTGCACGAGGGTGTGCCTGTATCATTTTTCTATTTATAATAATGTCTATTGTTTATTTTATTTTAGAGAAAATTGCTTCTAGCCTCCAATTTTCTTACAACTATTTCACTCCTTCCCAAAATTTTTCAATACTCTCAAAATCCCCAAAAGCAAACCTATAATTCCCTAACCCCCAAAACACAAAACCCAAGAGTTTAAAACATGTGAAGACGATAATATCATCTCTCTCTCTCTCTCTCTCTCTCTCTCTCTCTCTCTCTCTCTCTCTCTCTCTCTTATGATGTTATTGTGACTTTCCACTATAAAAAAGTAGTGGAGAGACCACTACTTTTAATCTCAATCGTTGATTACTTAATAGGCGATTATGATACAATCTAAATCTAACACTTATCATACCCCGTGTATTGCACTCATTCCTAATTTGTACTAAAAGAAAAAATCACAACCACCAACTAGATAATCAATGGTTGTGATTATGTAGTGGTCTCTCCACTACTTTTTAGATAGTGGAGAGGATCTGAATCCTTTAAAATGAGTTTTAGAGGGAACAAATGCTAGTTCCCTCCAAATTTTTTCAACGGCGTCGACATCGGTGGTGAAACTTTCCTGGCGTTCGTTCACGAGGCAAAGAAAACTCCAGCCATGAAGATGGTGATGACAGTGAGGTCGCCAACCTGCTTAAGTTTACATATTTTTGTAATTTTTTTTTTTAAATTGATGACTTGAGATTAAAGTAAAGTATGTAAATTTATATATTGTTGTTATTTCATTGTAATAAGTTTATTGTTAAGCTTATGAGTTAGTGGTGAAAGAATGTTACATGTTGTTTTTTAAGGTTATGGATTGGTTATGAAGGATACACCTTGATTGTGAAGGTTACGGGTTGGTTGTGAAGGATACGCATTGGTTGTGAATGTGTTACGAGTTGGTTGTGAAGGTTACGCGTTGATTGTGAATGTTACGGGTTGGTTGTGAAGGATACAGATTGATTGTTAAGGTTACGTGTTGCTTGTGAATGTTACGGATTTGTTGTTAAGGTTACGTGTTGGTTGTGAAGATTACAGGTTGATTGTGAAGATTACAGGTTTATTATTAAGGTTACAGGTTGGTTGTGAATGTTACGGGTTGGTTGTGAACCTTGGAAAGAAGTTGATTGTGAATGTTACCTTCACAGCCAACGCGTAATATTCACAACCACGTAACATTCACAACCAACGCTTATCTTTAATAACCAACTCATAATATTAACAACTAACCCATAACCTTCACAACCAATGTGTATCCTTCACAACTAACCCGTAACCTTCACAACCAACTGTAGGATCTGAAATAGATACACTAGAACACTAGGGGGAGTGTGAATAGTGTTTTTTAAAAAAATTATACAAAGTAGATTATAAATTACAAAGAAAGAATGGTAACAATATCAGAAAATCACAATCACAAACAAGAGTTTTTATACTGGTTCTACCAATCTGGTATACATCCAGTCCCCAAGCAAATCCCGCTTGAGATTTCTACTATAATTTTGAATTAAGTACAAAATTAAAACCAAATCTGATCAATTTGCAAGTCCCTGTAAATTGCAACACCAATTGACAACACTTTACCAATTGCACACCAATCTCTAAACCAAGAGATCAACCTCTCTCAAACCAAGAGACCTTTCCTTTAATCAAAATTGCACACCAATCTCTAAACCAAGAGATCAACCTCTCTCAAACCAAGAGACCTTTCCTTTAATCAAACAACTCAATTCCTATAAGCCTTGATTTGTAGTGTTGTGTAGCAGTGGCTTAGGAATAATTTTATACTCTAAAAATTGCCTAAATAATTTGTATTTTGAATGAGGATAAAAGGCAATTTCAGAAACAATCTTTTTCTCAATACTTAGCAAAATCTAAATGTTTTTAACTTTTGAACAATGCACAAAGATTGAAGATTATTGGTATATAATAATGTGCCATTTTTATGAACATATAACCTTTTTATAGCCCTTGAAAAGACAAGTTTTTAAACTTTAAAAACGTTTAAAAACGACTATAAACTGACAATGATTCAAACATTAACGTTCAGAAAAACTGCATTAATAGCCGACTATAATACATAGTAGTCGACTACTCTGTAATACAGAAAGTCTGAAATTTAGAAACTGAAACTTAGTAGTCGACTATTCTTCTTAGTAGTCGACTACTCTGTATTACAGAAAGTCTGGAAAACAAAAATCAAATATCAGTAGTTGACTATAATTGTTAGTAGTCGACTATACTGTAAAACAAACGTTCTGTAAAATAAATTTCAAAGCTCAGTAGTCGACTATAATTGCTTGTAGTCGACTACTCTGTAAAATAGAAGTTCTGTAAATCAAAATTCAAAGCTGAGTAGTCGATTATAATCCTTAGTAGTTGTAGGCATATAAAATTGCTTATAGGTCCCTTAGCTCAGCTCGGCACGAACCGACAAACCAACGA